AAACCAAATGTTAGGTCTCTCTTCAGGTCGTGTAAAAAACACAAATCAAGAGTTGGAAGATTACTTTCATGCACTTCTTCCACGGACATTCTACAGGTGGGTTAAAACACATTTCTCATATCACGAAGTATTTTTGAAGGGACCATTGTGACCTGTCTTTGGTTCTTGAACCACAAGAGCAGCCCCCATGTTTTATCTGAGGAGCTTGCTGTTCAGTTTTTCAGATGCAGAGTTTTAACCAGTCGAGCACTTTTTTATATTTTTCTATAAAATTAAGACGTCAGCTGTTTGGATCAGACTTTGTCAGTTGAAGCGGTTCCTTCAACTGGCTGCTGCTCGAAGTTGTCCTTAAATCCCTGTATTGTATATAGTGTATGAAACAGTGTGTGTGTGTTGTGTGTGTGTGTGTGTGTGGTGTTGTGTGTGTGTGGTGTGTGTGTGTGTTGTGTTTGTATTATTGTTAACAAAATGTTTGAGTTTTTATGAATTCCATTGTTGACAACATCGTTAGTTTTTTTGTTGATGAAATTGTTTCTGACCTGATTACGTTTGTTGGTTCACACTCGGCACTTAGTCCATTTTGGGGAAAATTCATTGGCTTTTTTTAATGTTTTCATATTTTGTTTTCACCTTTGTGTGTTTTTATGGCCTTGGAATCATGTTTTGTTATTTGTTTTTTTAAACTTTGCTAACAAAATTCAAACTACATTAGAAAAATAGTGATATAACTGCTAGATTTTTCATTTGATGTTTTATAAATTAGTTTGTTTTCTTACTGTGTATTCTGTCAAAAAACAGTTTCACAAGTAGCGTCACTGTGACCCTGGCAGCCAGGCTGTCTGTTGAATATACAGTGGTGAGAAGATCACTGTCAGATGTGAGATCCAGGAGGTGGAGGCACTGGGTTGGACGTATGAATGGAGAGGAACAAACCAGGCTCAAACAACAATCCTCCATCACACAGTGAATACACTATCAGCAGAGCTGCTCTGTCTCACAGTGGAGACTACAGCTGTAGAGGTAGAAGAGACTATTCCTTAACAGAGTGGAGTTGGGTCATGAGATTGACAGTATCACGTGAGTTGGACCGTCTTTCTTAATGTTTTCATTGATATGAATAGGACAGCTGTGAACATTCATCTGTCCATCAGTGACCCAGTCCTCTCCAGGTAGATCAGTAATAAACTGAATTTCTTCAGTGTAACAACAGAATTATGAAAAAAGAGACACGATGCAGTTTTCTGTAACTTCAGAAATATTGATGTTCAAGGAGAAAAGTGCAGAGAAGATAAAAGAGTTTAAGAAGAACTGTGAACCAAAACATTTGTCTTTCAGTAAGGGAATTATAAATATAAATTAGAGGGAATCTGTTATGCAGTTTTGGATTCACACCGTTAATAATTTTTTAAATTGTGGTAAAAGCTAAATTACAAAGTGGATGTTCAGTTTAATTGTTTGAATAAATTCTCTGATAAATGTTATTTACAATATTTCAAGTCCTTCACTTTTAAAGTATGTAATGTAATGTAATAAAACAAAATAAATTTCTTGAAGCAAATCACATTTAATTATTTACTTATTTTCTATCTTGCTCTAAACTCAACAGGAAGTAAAGCCACAGCCACTCTGACAGCAGACAGGACAGTTCTACCAGCAGGGGGCAGAGTGGCACTGACCTGCTCTGTGGATCAGTCTCACAGCTGGAAATACGACTGGTTCAGACGAACCTCTGTCTCTTCTAAAGCTGAGACTGTACGAGACACAGACCAACCACACACAGTCATAACACAAGGAGGCGTCTACACGTGCAGAGGAAGGAGAGGACAACCAGAGTTCTCAACACCAGAAAGCAGTAAAGTCACCATTAAGGAAACTGGTGAGTTTAGTCATTTGTTCTGGAATAAAACAACATTTAAGCTCTAAATCTCTTCCTCTGTTTATCAGCAGTGTAAGAAAGAGATGTTTTGATACCAACAGCAAATAGAAGCAAAACAATGATTATATGTCAGTAGCTCCTAAAGCTCTGATGAAGGAGAAAACACAACGTTCATCCCTCTTCATGTTGTGCACAGAGTCAAGACAAGACTGGAAGGTGCTTCTTGTCTCAGTCATTTCTATCATCTAGAAGAGTTTGTCTGCTTGTTCCAGTATTTGTAAACTTGTTGTCATCCTTCAGTCCACCACGTTTTACACAAGAAGCTTTTTAGTGTCAGTTTAGATTTGAAATTGTGGAGATTTTAGATTTTTATTAAATAGATCTCAAACAGTGAGAGTGGCTGTTTTCAGGTGAGTGTATTTGCTTCTTTCTCTGCATTGTTTTATTTCTACATGTCAGACTGTAGTTTTGTTCTGTAAACGTGTTGTGAAGGACAGAGGCAAGATTTTTATTTTACATTAAAACCATCATCAGGAGCAGATGGGGGGTTAACTCATGAACAAAATAGAATATAAATAAAAACAAAGTAAATACTGAAACATCCTCCTATGAAACCTACTTGATTTAAAAGCTTCTAAGAAACAGAAGTTGTTTACATGACGTTGAGATCTTTGGGTTGATGTTCAGTTTCACAAACAGTTTAGGCCTGAGAAGATTTATTTATTTATCATCTGTTGTTCCCTAACACCTCCACCTGCTCCTTATTTGAGACATAACCAAAAGGTAAAAAATGCAAATATACTTATTCTACTCTTTTATGTTCTAAATACAAAGTCAACACGATTCACTTTTATTGATCTTTAACTGAATCTCTTCCCATATCGTCACTGATCTGCTGGAACAGTAACCTGAGATTCAAGACTCAGTTAGAGAGAATATCAGACTGTTGTTCTAAATAACTGGAGACAAACAGCCTGTTGTGTCTGCTCTGTGTCAGTGTCTGTGGAAAGTCTTCCAGTCTGTTGGAGAACTGCTGTCCTCCTCTGTACGCTGAGTTTCAGCTGCTCCTCTCAGACTGTGTCTGACAGTCACATTAAAAACATGAGCACAAAGTCCCTGTGGGAAAGAGCTGCTCCTGATGCACAGTTGTTACTTCTCTTCCTCATTATTTTCTTGCTTTAAGTCGTTTTCTTTGGAGACACTGTTTGATGTTTTCATGTGTTTGTAACTTAAAGTGATGCTGTTGTTCATCACTGTTGAGTTGTTTGTATTGTTTATTTAACCTTAATACAGATGATTCTTATTAGAAACAGCAGCAATAATTATGACATTTGAATCCTCACTGTGTATTTCTGTCAACAGTTCCCAGTAGGGTCACTGTGCCCCTGCAGCCCAGCTGGTCTGTGATATACAGAGGAGAGAAGATCACTGTCAGATGTGAGATCCAGGGAGGTGGAGACACTGGGTGGACGTATGAATGGAGAACAACCAGCTCAAACAATCCTCCATCACACAGTGAATACACTATCAGCAGAGTTACTGAGTCTCACAGTGGAGGCTACTGGTGTAGAGGTATAAGTGACTATTACTTAACAGAGTGGAGTCGGGTCATGACATTGACAGTATCACGTGAGTTGAACGTCTTTCATTTATACAAATATTTTGTTTCCTATTTTTAGAATCTCTTTCATCTAAATAAAACAACAAAAACATTTCAGACATCATTGTAGCTCTGTTCAGCCACTCAGTGAAAAATGTTTTTTACTTTAGTAACAAAGGAATGAAAATGAGCTTTTTACTGTGACATCAGAGTAACTTCTTAAGCACTATACAGTTCTGATACATGAAGAATAAAATGACCTGTGGTTGTTTAATGAGTCCACAGTTTCCACTGACATCCCCTCAAAAATGAAAGTGTTTTTTGTGGCTGTACACATGTAGTTTTCTTTGTAGCAGAAGTGAGTTATGATGCAGTTGATTCAGTTGTTTTGGCTGAGATGTTGATTTATTCATTTATTTATTTCCATCATTAATCCCTAGAGGTGTCAGGTTGTCAGGTTGCATGTGAGTTGGGTGAAATCAGTTTCAGTGAATCCACCTGTAATAACTGTCAGTGTTATAAGTCTGCTCAGAGTTTATGAAACAAGGTAACAGGACAAAATCCTATTTTAACCATTGACTTGTTTTGTTTTTCACTGTGAACTAAACAGCCAATAAACCCCAGGCCTCACTGACAGCAGGCAGCAGAGTCCTACCAGCAGGGGGCAGAGTGACTCTGACCTGCTCTGTGAACCCATCACCTGGTTGGAAATACTACTGGTACAGAGAGAATAAACTCTCTGAACCTCTGAACAGACATGATGCTGTTTCCCAGACAACTGGAACAACCAGTGTCTCACAGGAAGGACTCTACTGGTGCAGAGGAGGAAGAGGAGACCCAGTTTACTACACACACTTCAGTCAGGCTGTTAGGATTGACACCATTGGTGAGTTTGGAAATAAACGCACAATGTAGAAGAAGAAGTCTATTGTGTATTCATGATGCATCATTAAGATTGAGATAAAAAAAAAATCTAATGTTAATTGAAACTTTTTATATTTTTATGTTCTTATTGTAAATCCTTGAACATGAACAGTCTCAAACACGGCTGTTGTGACTCTGCAACCAAACTGGACTGAGATATACAGAGGAGAGACGATCACTGTCAGCTGTGAGATCCAGGGAGGAGGAGACACTGAGTGGACGTATGAATGGGAAACTAACATCTCACTCAAACCTTCAAATCAACATGAATACAGGATTAGTTCTGCTTCATCATCCCACAGTGGAGACTACAGGTGTAGGGGCAGGATGAAAAGTGCACAACATAATACAACAGAGTGGAGTGATTCAGTCAAATTGACAGTGTATGACAGTAAGTCTGATCATATTTCATGTAAACTGAAAATCTAAACACCTCATGTGTTTAGGGATAATGTCATAACATGATTTCATTCTGAGAAAATAACTTTCCAACAGATAAACCCCGGCCTGTCCTCACTGGGTCTCCATCATGGCTGAGTCCTGGAGCCTCAGTAACTCTGAAGTGTGAGGTTGAACATCCATCTGCAGGATGGAGGTTCTACTGGTACAAGGCTGTTCCTGATGGATCACAGCGCTCCTACAGCTATGAGCTGCTCCCTGGAAGCAGCATTGGGACTGAACAGGATTCCTACATCGTCCATGGTCAGACACACACAGCAGGATATGTGTGTAAGGCTGGAAGAGGAGACCCAGTGATTTACACTGAGACTAGTAGAACAAAGTTTGTCTGGTCTGGAGGTGAGTTTGTTGTTTCAATGTTCAGTCATTACCTGAATTCATCCATGTTTTTGTCTGAGCAACATTTCCTAAAAACAAATATTCATGTTGGTAAAGAAATGTATTTTTACATTCATGGTCCCCAGTGGAAGAAATGTACTGATTGTGGAACTGGGTTGAATATCCTTCTCTCCTTGTTTCCTTCTGTCCTTCCCTTATCCTTCTTCAGTTAATCTGAAAGCATCAAAGCCACAAACAAACACAGAGATACAAGGTTTCCACCTCTCATTGAAGTGCAGCTCCACTTTCCTCAATGTGTTCTTTTATTTTGGATACTTGAGCTCATCTTAATGTTTATTCTCCATTGCTTTTACTCCCCCAGCAGACAGGACAAGTGCAGCTGGAGAGTTGAGTCAGTGGTCAGGCAGGTGCACAGACAGATTAATAAATGAATAACAACAAAAGACTTCAGCAGGTAACAAGTGTAGAAAAACATCCATGGAAACACCTGGAACCGCTCAGCAGCATCATTCATTTCTCTGCTGTCTGTCCATGTGCTGTTTGTTCCAAACTCTGCATCTTGTTTCAGTGTTGGTGCTGCTGATGTTTCTAACACTCACCAAACAAAAGATGAACAAAGGAATATTTACACTGAGCTGTTTTTAATGTTCATATCTCTGTTGCTGCTTTGACCCTTTTCTGTGTTTGTTCTTCAGATGTTCGTCCATCAGCGTCTCTCACAGTGAGTCCTGACAGAGCGCAGCACTTCAACTCTGACTCTGTCTCACTGAGCTGTGAGGGAAACTCTACTGAGTGGAGAGTGAGGAGGTTTGATGAGAGTAACTACCTGTCACACTGCTCTGACTGGGGGAGAATGACCGGATCCACATGTAACATTTACAGTTATGGGCCCAGTAATGCAGTGTACTGGTGTGAGTCTGGATCAGGAGAGTTCAGCAACACAGTCAACATCACTGTACAGAGTACGCTTCACTGCATTTTCTCTCTATTTCACTTTTTCTGGAATTTGAATTATTGTCAAAGTCTCATGTGAGTTAATTGATCACGTCTTAGAATTGAGTTGTTACATATATAGTTCCTTGGAGAGTTCGGTCCGTTACATGGTTTTAATCATTAATTATATGTTACCAAACAAAGACACTCATTTCCTCCATGTCCTGTACACTTCACATAAATATGTTGTTACTGAATGAAAATGAAATGTCAATGTTCAGTCAGTCTTCTTCATTATTTAGCAGCACCATGATGTTGGTGGCAGGTCTCACTTCACTCACTTCATCTCTTCACAAAACAAATCACGTCCAAATTCTGGCCACAGTAAATATCTTCCTCCTTGCAAAGTACTAAGTGAAATTTCTTTCCTGTAACAAGCCACTGAAAACATTCGATAGTTTAGTTTAGTTTTTTCCTTCAGACTATCATATAAAAAATAATAAATGGTGTTAATTTAAATAATATTGATGAGCACATATTAATTACGTCTCCATTCTCTCTTGAGCTAATGAACCACAACTTGGCTTCTCATCTGTGGCTGCAACTAAACATCACATCAACATCATCATAGTCACATCTTTCCTCTCATCCTGTCACATGTTGCCTCTCATCATGATGAGGCTTTGGTTTAGTGTCGGTCTTGTATGTTGACAGCTGATCTGAAGGAAACAACTACAGTAGAATTTACAGGACAATGTAAAAAGCTGTTGTTTATTTGGCAACAGGTTCTGTAAAACACACACAGCAGGTTGTAAGTAAACAAGATCAAATGTCAGGTCTTATGATCATCCTGTAAAATAAATCAGCAGTGAATAAGAATAAAAGCATATAATTAATCCATTCTCATCATGTCTGTCAGCTGGTTCTAAAGCTCGGCACCAGCTGATCTCTGACTGAAACTTCATATTCTGACTGTTACAGATTATTATACTCATGGTATTATCCTGCTGAGCCCCGTCCGTCCTGTGACTGAGGGAGAGTCTGTCACTCTTGGCTGTAAACTGAAGACAGAACATCTTTCCAGTGTGTTTTTCTATCAGAATGACAAACTCATCCAAAATGGTTCCAGAGTGGAGCTGAATATCTCTGCAGTGTCACAGTCAGATGAAGGTTTCTACAAGTGTCAGTCCTCAGGACGAGTGTCAGCACAGAGTTGGATGTCAGTTAAAGGTGAGTAGGATTAAAATATTTGATTCTTTTTCTATTTTGTGAAGTGTGTTGCTCTGACAAAGGAACACTGTCAACATATAGTATATTCATGTGTATGTGCTGCAGATGTAGATGCAGGTTTTCATATTGATTTAGAGTTTTATCCTGAAGACTTGAAGTCACCTGTTTTATTTTTTTTAGGATTTTATCATTTCTGTAAAGTAACGTCCACCATTAATACATTTCCTGATACTTTTATTAACTCAATTAATATTCAGCAGTTACAATAGCTGTGCCAAGACCTGAAAGCTCTTCATTTCCTGTGTCGCTGATCGTTGGGCCAGTTTGTGGAATAGTATTGATCGTTCTCCTGCTGCTGTTGTTTCACTACAGAAATTCAACAGGTGAGATCTTTTCCTTCTGATATTTGATTACAATCTAATTAGTCAAGAGACAATCGTGATCTGATGTAATTACATGTACTGTTGCAACAATAGAACAATTTGCAATACAAACCCATGTAACAGCATGTAACCTGCTGCTGTGTGGCTGCAGAAAGTCAACAGGTGAGACACTGATTATTAAAAAATCACTAATCAGTTCAGTTTTTAATACAAATCCTACTCTGCTTCTTACAGATCCATGTTGTAACAGGTTCGTACAACACGCTCTCCTCTCTCATCTCCAATAAGTTTTTGCTATTAGATTTTCCTGCTAATTACTGCTGATATATGTTTATTAACCTCCATGTTTCAGACTCACTCAGACTCAAAGAGAGAATCAGGGCTCTGCTACGGGACAAACAGTCAACCATGATCAACAGCAAATATATTCCTCTCTTCTCCACGGTCAGTTTTTCATGTTGCTTCTTACGCTTTCACAACTATTTCTAACTCACTTTCTAATCAAGAGAGACCAGGAAATATTTTTGATCCATTTGCATCCAGTTCTCCAGGACTGTAGTCGTTCCCTCTGCTGCTGGAATTAAACCAAACCATCACAGACATGAGGTGACTGGTGTGGCTTTGTTTTGGTTCTCACTGTCCTGTAGGTGACGCCTGTGTCTATGAATCAATCAGAGGCTCTGAAAACACTGGAAAAGGTTCAGTATAAACTTTTACTAATGTCCAGCTGTTGGAAGCTACAGTATATCATTAAACAGGAAGTGAGCGATTAATATTAAAGTCAGTAAAAACATAATGTTTTCAGGTCAACCGGACACTAATGTCAGTGATGTCACATCTCCTATTGAAATTGAGAGAAAAATGACGTTCTGTCATATGATCATCTCAACAGGTGGATGTGATGGTGCAGAGGAGAGCTCTGACTATATTAATGTGAATCCAGATTCAGCCACAGGTACAAACGTTATTCAGAGTCCAGTTTTCATCTTTGATTGTATAATTTGAAATTATTTTCCAGTTTCCACATAGAAAGTGTCATATTTTTCTAAATGCATCACGTGTGTTTTAAATGATATATTATATAATGTCAGATGTGATGTTTCTATTTTTTCCAGCTGTTTATTGTGATTTTGTTCCAGGTCCATAAAAGATGAACACGATCAACATATCAACGACAACATGAAAGAAAACACACTCATGTTCTGGCAGTGAAGGACTTTGTGCAGCTGAGCAGCAGATTATATGAAGAAAAACCAGGATATTAATCTTACAGTGCCTTTTGCTTATGTATATCAATGAATACCCTATTTTTTAAAAACAACTATATATCCTTTAACTTGAATTGGTTTTGAATATTTTCATGGTGTCTTTATATATGTCAGTCACTCCGCCTCATCATGACATTAATGATAGTTGTTTGTCGCTTGTTACTGTTTCCCAGTTCAGTGTTTTGCAGCATAGCTTGTGTTTATGGTAATCTCATTATTAAACATTTTATACATACAGCTTATATTATATTGGTTGTATTTTCTTGTTGAGTATGTTCATCGTATGGTGCTGACTTTAACATCAGTTTTCAGTTCATTAAGAGTTATGTAAAAACACTTGCTCATAATCTTACAGATAATTTATAAAGTGGCGGATAATTCTTGTCAATATGAAAAATAATTTACTCAAGAGTCTCATGTGTCCTCACCTGATGAAAAGCTACTGTACGTCCCTGTGTCCTGCTCATCGTCATGTCGGTGTAAAAAGAGCAGCGTGCAGAGACATCCAGTCACTGCAAGATCATGTTGAGAAAGCCAGTGTTTTACAGCATAAATGTACTTACTGTACATGTCAGGGATTAATGAGGATTTATTTGGACAAGGTGGAGATGAAGATGAACAAACTGAGCAACTTCATATGATTATTTTACTGTGTAAAACATGTGGTGGACTGAAGGATGACAACAAGTTTACAAATACTGGAACAAGCAGACAAACTCTTCTAGATGATAGAAATGACTGAGACAAGAAGCACCTTCCAGTCTTGTCTTGACTCTGTGCACAACATGAAGAGGGATGAACGTTGTGTTTTCTCCTTCATCAGAGCTTTAGGAGCTACTGACATATAATCATTGTTTTGCTTCTATTTGCTGTTGGTATCAAAACATCTCTTTCTTACACTGCTGATAAACAGAGGAAGAGATTTAGAGCTTAAATGTTGTTTTATTCCAGAACAAATGACTAAACTCACCAGTTTCCTTAATGGTGACTTTACTGCTTTCTTGTGTTGAGAACTCTGGTTGTCCTCTCCTTCCTCTGCACGTGTAGACGCCTCCTTGTGTTATGACTGTGTGTGGTTGGTCTGTGTCTCCTACAGTCTCAGCTTTAGAAGAGACAGAGGTTCGTCTGAACCAGTCGTATTTCCAGCTGTGAGACTGATCCACAGAGCAGGTCAGTGCCACTCTGCCCCCTGCTGGTAGAACTGTCCTGTCTGCTGTCAGAGTGGCTGTGGCTTTACTTCCTGTTGAGTTTAGAGCAAGATAGAAAATAAGTAAATAACTAAATGTGATTTGCTTCAAGAAATTTATTTCATTTTATTACATTACATTATATACTTTAAAAGTGAAGGACTTGAAATATTAATACGTTTTAACAGAATTTATTAAACTGAACATTCACTCGGTCATTTAGCTTTTACCACCAAATACAAAATTAGTAACTGACTGTGTTACTACAAACCTGCTTAACAGATTCCTTCAGGTTTATAATTCACTTACTGAAAGACATGTAGAGGTACACAAAAAGTTATTCTTCAATTCATTTGTCTTCTCTATACTTTTAAAGTTATGCACTTTTCTCTTTGAACATCGATATTTCTAATGTTACAGAAAACTGCATTTCTACACTGAAAAGTTTATTCCTGATCTACCTGGAGAGGACTGGGTCATTGATGGACAGAGAAATATTCACAACTGTCCTATTTAGATCAATGAAAACATTTAGAAACATGACATTTTCAGAATGAATGAAAGACGGTCCAACTCACGTGATACTGTCAATGTCAAGACGTCACTCCACTCTGTTAAGTAATAGTCACTTCTACCTCTACAGCTGTAGTCTCCACTGTGAGACACAGTAACTCTGCTGATAGTGTATTCACTGTGTGATGGAGGATTGTTTGAGCTGGGTGTTCTCCATTCATACGTCCACCCAGTGTCTCCACCTCCATCGATCTCACATCTGACAGTGATCTTCTCTCCACTGTATATCACAGACCAGCTGGGCTGCAGGGTCACAGTGACCCTACTGGGAACTGTTGACAGAAATACACAGTGAGAAAACAACTAAAAGTATAAAATCAAGAGACAAAATTTGATACTTTTAAGCACAAATTCAGATGGAAATGATAATCATTAATGTCCAGTTCAGTTGATTTTTTAAACAATAAATATACAAAATGGCAAAAGCCATAACAACAACAGCAGTGAAATCGGTAATAAAAAATAAAATAGTATGAAAAATATTCAGTGAATTATTTAAAAAAATTCTGAAAAGTGAGAAAATTGATAAGCAGCTTCATCACAGGCCGTTGTTAAAGGGATAAATGTACCTCACTAATATGTAATAAGCTATCACACAATTTTCTGAGGAACAAAGAATCAACAGCAAATTTAATGAGGCGTCTTTTCTCATGCTGGGAAATGACAAAAGAATCAAATAGGAAGAAGAGAACAAAGCAGCACATCTGCCGTCACTGACTCAAAAAACATCCAAATTTGAAATTGCAACTTGCAACTGAGTGATGTTCAATGTCAAGTCTACTAATACTGCATGAAGAAGTCACATGTTTTATCCAATTCCAGATGTTTATAAATATTAATAAATAAATATGAGCAGCATTAAGAAAGGACCCTCAACTCCTCTATTGTGTTTGTAAACAAATTAAAGTGTCCAACAACTATTATATTCCTGCCCTGATGAAGTTTTTACTAATTGTTTTATAACTTTATTTTACATACAAGAGGTACTGGGCCTCAGTCATTCATTCATCAGGGCTGTAACTGATCTCCTCCACACTTCATGTATTGTTTTATGATTTAAAGAATCCATGTTGTTTTACATGTTGTTTTTCACCGTCCAGTGTTTGTTGTGGCCCGTCGCTCGAAAACATGTTGAATGCGTGAAAGACATTTGCAGTGTCACGTGTAGCCTGCTGCTATAGTAACCACAGAAATAAAATGCATGACGCCGTTGTGTTGTACATATTGCTTCACAACTAGAGTCTGAGAAGAAGTAAGCCAAGCCACTGCTTATCAATGCCAGAAATAGACTCAGCTTCACAGCTTCCTTTAACACCTCCACCTCCTTTACATGCTTTGTTGAATGGCTCATCAGATCACATCGTCCAAAAACCAGGGAACAACATTCAGACAATGTTTTTTTTTTTGCCTGAAAGCTCATTTATTGTACCGCCCCTCACTGGGGCCCTCTCTTCTTGGAGGTCACCCTTCCTGAATGCTTGTTTAATCCTGAAATCTATGAGACCTATGGACCTATAGTTTTTCAAGGATATTCTAACCCTCTAGCAGCATTCCCTCTGCTGCAGGTTTAACTTAATCAAACCAATAGTTAAAATGTTTATCCTCTTCCATCGAATCGAAAAGTCCAGTCCAACAAGCTGATGACACATGGTGGATTTTCTGCTGAACATCTCGAGTGCAGCTTCCCTTGTCAGATACATTTGGTGAAAAACCGAGAGATGGACAACAACACATATCTGTATTTATATGTGATGAACCGTTTTTAAAAGAACTAAAATTCTTGTATGTAAATGAAGGTGTAAATGAAGCTGGACTCTTGGTCATTTCCTGTTTCAATTTTGAAATAACTTACCTGTGTTGTTGTTTGTTGTTTTACCCTCCAGTTTTCTGTGTCACCTGCGTCTCATCAGCCAACCCCATCCTGTGTGCGGCCTACGGCTCTCAGGTAAAGGCTTTGTTTTTTGAAATGCATTTCAGGCAAATGATTGTTACAAGCTTTGTACTTTATCGTGGAAGGAAAATTAAAAGCTCAGTCTTTCACTGTGTGATATGCAGTTAGAATAAATAAACAGCTTAACCCAGCTTTGACTACTCTTACTACACCGACACTGTGCTGTGGTCAATTGATGTAATTATATAATGCATGATGTTTGAATTGTTTAACCATGAAATATCATTGTAGATTCTGTTGTAAGACACTGATAGTATCAATTACGTGATGTGTTATTGCAAAGCAGTTGGCTGTAGTTTTCCAAAAGCAATCTCTTCAGCATTCATGTTCTTTGTCCCACCCCATGAATGTGTGTTTTTTTTCTCACGTGTCACAGCTGAGTTTGATAAACCAGAAGAGGAAATAAACATTTGTCTCCACAAAGATGGCTGCTGGTTGCCTACAGCGCTCAAGCTGCTTCCTTACATACAGTGCTTTGCTGTTGCTTTGGGTCTCCCTCCAAGGTATGTACCGTCTACCTCTGCTCAGGAAGACTGTGCAGTGTTGTTGTTTTTTTTGGCTGATGACTTGACTCTTATATGAGCTTAGAATCACACAGCTGAAGTAAGTTGGGTCAAGCTCGCAATATTTCCAGGATGTTTGCATGTCATCAGGATTTTGTGTTTACACAGTTACATAAAAATTCCATTTTTATTGTATTTTCAAATTGGTGTTCTTATGCCTTATGTAAAGCATCGCCTCTGTGCTTAGCCTGCCTTGCTACGCCTGACTGTAGTTTCTGTAAATAGCACTGATGAGTGACCCAACAGTTATGATACGATTGAAGAGAAGGCAACACTGTCCTATATGTCTTTGAGTGTTTGAATGCTCCTTCACCTGTGACCATTCCCAACAGTAATGTCTTTGTGCTGCTGAGGGGAACGTTTGCTACCAGGCCACAAGGAAACAATAAGATTCATCAAAATAGCTCAATAATAACTATATAACGTTAAAGGATATAGATCATGAGAGACTAATTTTGAAGCTTTTCTCTTTTCTCTCTGTAAACAGTGGTCACCATCAGCCATAAAACCAGGAAACAATAATGGTGATAAGTTCATACTCACTCTATTGTATCATTATGTGTTTCAGATGTGGAGGTTTCCAACTGTCCACGCGTCATCCATAAACAAGTTGGAGACACTGTGGAGCTTCCATCATGCTTACCAACTGAAGGGGTCACAACAGCAACTTGGAAATATGGAGATAAAACAGTTGTAGACATGGAACAAAGCTTAAATACTCAGTCCACAGGTAGAATATATCTAAACAAAATAACCTTTAGTTTAACAGTGAGAAGACTGACTGCTCAAGATTCTGGTAATTACAGTTTTCTCTCAGAGGCGAAGGGCAGGCAAAGAGACACAGTCATGATCACTCTGTACGTTCATGGTAAGAATCCTCCAGTAAATGTTGTGACACTGTCCTTATTAAGGTCTTAGACCATCAAGCATGACTTCAAGGAATACAAGACATTTCCCAAAGGTTTTGTAGCTTTGTTACTCCACGAGTATCATATATACATATTTAAAGGTACAGTATGAAGCCAAATCACCTGTCACACTCTCTCTCTTCCTATTGCCTCCTTAGAGCCCATAACTACACCTGTCCTGACTGCCAACACCACCTCACATGCCTTCAATGGATCCTGCACAGTTTTCCTGCGGTGCATTTCTGACGGCAAGGTCAACTACAACTGGACCATGAGGGCCCGGACCCACCGTGGCTCCAGTACACAGCATTACACCATCAGGCCGCAGGACGGAGAGACCACATTCACCTGCACGATTTGGAATGTAGTCAGTGAGCGATCTGCTTCCACAACAGTGACGTGTAGCAACGACACGTCCGACCAACAAAAACCAGGTAATGTTGCAGAGAAAAGAAAATATTCATTGCTCTATGTGTATGCGTATCTCTTGGGGCAGGGCAGTCTGGATGTCACGTGTATTTAGTTATTAGTGTCATGTTCTCTGTGTGTATTAGATTGCTAAATAAAATAACTCTTGTACATACGATGAATGCATTTTTATAATCATGAAAGTCTGACATCATGGAATTAAACGTGGAATTTAATTTTTTAGAGCGTATGAAATGAAATTGAAGATGCTTGAAAATAAACCTCATAAAGTGTCTTCTGTGAATTTACTTTTACTAGCCATCATAAAATAAGGACATCTGTACAAATTTAAAAGAAAACCAAGTACCTCACAAGGAATGGACATTCTCCTTAACGAAAGTGTTTAGACATTTATTGATAAACTTGATTGTATGATTATAATTAATCATTGCAGTTCCCAGCCCGTCATCTCTTGTCCCGTTCTTTGTTTGGCTGATTATTGGGATTTCGGTGATTGTTGTACTTGTGCTCTCGCTGCTTTACTACACAAAGTCAAAGGGTGAGTCGTCCTCTTGCTGATATTCACCTGGTAACAACATGATTGTGGAGTCATTAAATTGATCTGTGGTTTAATTCGCATCAGAGAAAAAAAAAAAAACACTTGACAACATTTGTCTTTTTTTTTTACAGATGTATGTTGTAACAGGTCAGTGTGACACTCTTCTTTCATTTCCAACTTAACAGCAGAAATACAATTTAGTAGATACTCTTGTTATAGTTAATTACTGCTTATATACATATTTTTACATGATTTACTCTGTGTTTCAGGCTCACGCAGACTCCTCCAGCCAGCCAGGATGAAAATCAACAGCCTGTGTACTCCTCTCTTCTCTATGGTCAGTCCTCTATCCAACCCTGTTGCTTCGCTGCTATTTTGAAACCTTGAACACAATTTCTTGTGAGCCAGTTTTTTGAAAAAACAAACATTGTCACAAACATTTCAGACCTCTCAAATCCACTAATGTGACTTTTCCTTAATTATCACTGACCTGTAGGTGAAGGTTCAATCTATGAAACAATGAGAGGCCGTGAAGATGCTGCAGGTAATGCAGTAGTAGATACAAAGTGAGTACACCAAATACATGGATGAAATAAATGTTTTGTTTTTTTTGCTGGTCTTTATTGCCATTTGTCATTTTTTTGTGCAATCCTTATCTCTTTTACTTCATGTGCTTGCGCAGCCAGACAGATTTTGGCATTCGTCCACAGTCCACAGTGCTCGTCCAACCTGTAATGCTTACACACGCTGTTTAAGCTGTGGTGTTAACGCTGCTCCAAATGTTGCTTCTGTGGGAACGAATCTCTGTAAGAGGAACTGTCTGGATGAGCCGTACCCACTCATACTGACCAAAAGTGTCTCTGGCTTGTTTCATCTTTGGCTGCCAGCGACTGCGGGTGTTAAAATACTCGAGCTTTCCTCTTTGGATTTAATTGTTGTTAATTGTTAATTGAGGAGACTGAAGATAACAATTGAGAACATGTTGGGGTAATGTTGCTTTAATGTTTAAAATGTTTAAAATCACAGATTCCTTCATCAATGAGAGGCTCTGAAGACACAGGAAATGGTACAGTATAAACAATTTAATAACATTTTATTCTCCCTTTATTATCTCTTTTTTTTTATCAACTGTATCTTGCTGTATCTCTTTATATGTCTTTTTCAATTGTCTACTCTGATTTGGTTTCAGGTCCATAAAGATAAGTGCATCGTCAACAAACACAGAAGAAGCACAGAGAAGCACAGAAGACATGAAAGACAATATTCATGTTTAGGGTTTTTTTTTGCAGCATTTATATTACTTGGAATAGTTAGAGGTTTATGACACAAGTGTTTGCTTAATGATTAATGGACATTGCTAAATGAGGATGAATGAGCTAAAAGCTGGCATCTGAGTCAGAGTTCAGTGAGAAAGCCCAGGGACAGACATTGTATTGTTTCTCATATGTGATTAACTGTTGTTAAGGAGAACAGATTATGATGCAAATTCAACAAAAAAAAAAACGTCCTTTTGAAGCTAGCTGTCAGTATTGTTTTCATACTGATAATTTTTTGTCACGCCTGTATGTTACATATTTAGCCACTTGATGGTGCGCTGTGGTTTTCCTTCAGTTACCAGGCAGTTCAGTCTGCAATACAGCATCTTTACAGCTGCTTCTGTGAGCTCACGTATAATGCATGATTTAATTCCTGAGAATGTTGACTGTGTTTAACAATGCATCATCATTGTAGACCATTGTTTTGTAGGTTTTGTGAATTTCTACAATTCAGAATTGTTTTTCCTCCATTTGGGCGAAAAATGTTAGATGTTAGATAAAGCATGTACGTATGATATCTTTTATTTAATGGATATTATTGTTATATAAATTAATTTACACTTGTGAACTCATCTGGTCATTGCTTCAGAGTTTTGTAAAGGATATGAAGCACCAGGGTGTGTTGATCTTGGTTCTGTTTCTCTAATGACTCACTGACCAGCATCACTTAACCGTCATTGTGTTACTTCTTCTTTCAGAATAAATGTGAACAATCGATGTTACATGTCAGGGTTCCAAGTATTTTACTAAATGGTCAGTTGGTCTCGCTGAATGCCCAGAGGGACTTTTTTTAAATAAATATTTTAATATGTTTGAAAGTGAAAATGATGTGACAAAGAGGAGAATTTATTATATATTTATTCAGTGTGTTCATGTGCTTCTGAGGAAACAATATGGAAACAACAGGGATGATACAGAGAAGATGTGCTGTATTTTATTGCTCAGAGCGTTAAAACAACACATTTATGTTTCTTGTATTTGAGTTATTATCAGGGTTACTGCTAATACACAACTTTTCTAACTAATCTACATGGACAGCAACTAACGGTGACAACCTAATACCATCTTACACATTTAATGTTAACAAAAAATTGATATGCAATAGGCTACGTGAAAATGTCGATGTTTCTTCATATACAAAGTTACAACTTGGAAACTCATGTAGCCCACCAAAGCTTTTGCTGACTCTCTAGATCATTAAACTGAATTGATGGGGAGTTCACATCAATTTTCCCGGTCAGAAACCAATTTTTCTGATTATTCCAACATCATCTGAATGCTAGGAGTTTACAGCCATGCTAGCACTGCAGTGCTTTGAGCTAAGTGCTAATGGCATCAGCATGGCAACAAGCTCACAATGGTTAACATGCTAATGCTTAGAGAGTGTAATCTTTACCATGTTCACCATCTTAGCTTAGCTTATTAGCGCATTTGTCTAATTGGCGCTACCCACAAAGTGAGTCTTATCAGAAACAGGGTTCCAGGATCAGTTTCATTGACATTATACACTATAGAGGTGCACAATAAAATGCAGTTAGAGCAATTCAATTAGCTTGTGGTCTTAAGAAAAAAGTATGTGATATTTGACCAGCTAATGCCACAAGAGGAAATGTCAATGGATCTCAGTGTTGTTCACAAGTCATAAAATTGGTGTGACATAAGCGTGGGATGGAAACACAGTTCTGAGAGACACAGTTGCGTTTGGTGGGCTGTTTCATCCTGTGGGTTTCATGTCAGTGTTGATCTGTGAACAGGCCCTCAAGTACATAGGAAACCAAATTGTGTTGCAAGCAGTGCACAGACCACCTCTGCAGGAACACCATACCAGAAGGTGTTAAGGTCGGACTTGCTTGCAGAAGAGTCCCCTCGTGCTTTCATCATCACCACTCAACATTCAGACTATTGAGCTAAAGTCTGAAATGTAATTTGAGCTTGAAATCCTTTATAAACTATGTACGGCTAAAGGCGTCATCTTTCATACGTGCAGCATGAGACATGTAGTGATGAGAGACAGATCATGACAGGCCAGGTCATTCAAGTGCAGGCAGTCCGATGGGTTAGAACTGAGGTCACCTTGGACACGCATCCTTTTTCTTAGTAGTATCATGATGAGACAGAAATGGCCTTTTATCTTGATGCTGGGTGGTTCATTTCCTTCTATGTGCACAGGGTTGCACATAAGTTTAGCTTCGGATGTATACGATTATTGGTTTTATCACACAAAAGCAGACAGAAACATACTGCAGAGGGCAAAAATAAATCAATACAGCATCTCGAAATATCGGCTTCTATCTCAAAACGGTTCAGCGGTAAAGTTCCCATCCTTCACGACTAGGGTTTAGATTCCCTGTACCCAGCGTTCTTGGAGCAAAATCACTGGCTGAGGGGGAAGAAGACTTTCTGTGGTGTCCGCCTTCTCGCACTTGGGCGTCTCCGCTTCCCTGGCAGAGCAACCAAAACAAGACTGAGCTTGTGTTCCCACATAGAGACCTGCCCATTCAACTTGTTTTTATCTCCCAAAAAAATCCGCTGTCCACAATACTGTAGCAACTGTAGGAAAGCGAGGAACCTGGATGTGATCCTACATGGCAAACCGATATTCCCAGCAAACCAGGAAGCAGTAGCCTTCTCCTGATGATTCCTCTTGTGAAGCATTGGGAATATTTCCCCTTCCCTACTAGTGAAGCAACTCAGGTCCTAATCCAGACACTTGTCATCTCCCTGCTTGCTGGAGCCTCTACATCTTCCATGGTGACAAATAGCTCTTAATAACACAGTATAATGCATGCTCTTGACAGAACTTACTCTAGGCCGGTATCTCTTCACCTAGGAATATCTGATGACAGGATGTGGCCTCGTTCTTCCTCCTCAGAAGTTATCAGGTATGGATCTCTGCGTTGAAACTTCACACATCTAACTCAGTTGCTTGCAGTAGTCTATAGATACACTGTTAGCTCCAGTTTATTCAGGATAGGACTGAGTTCAGATCACCAGGAATCAGTCAGGAGTACCAGAGTTAATGGCAAGTTAAGTATGTCAAGTGAAGCAATTATGAACTTTCACCTTATTTTTGTAGTAAGATGATAATATAGTACAATACATGACAACTGACTATGATTTACCAAAATATCCTCCTCGATCTTTTATTGAACTCTCTTTTTAGATATGTTCCACTTATGCTATTTCTGACATGCCTACTTTTTTATTTCAGTTTTATTTACAGTAAATGAAGCCAGGCCGCCTCGTCTGCTTCTTCACGAACAGAAAACCTCCCCCACTCTCCACCCTCTCATTTTTCTTTCCTTTTTTTTTTTTTCGGTGCTGACATCTCACAGCACAGTTTGACAGACCAGAAGAGGAAACAGACGTTATTCCTCTTGCCACAGAGATGGTTGGTGGTCGCCTTTGCTGCCTGTGCTGCGTCTTCACATACAGCGCTGTGCTGCTTCTTGGGCTCTGTCTCCATGGTATGTGACATTTTAACTGTTATGTCATACAGGCCAACATTACAGAATTTGCTGGATTTGTGTCATCTTTGGAAACCTTGGAAGAGGTCAGCCGTCTTTTGAGCTTATGTGTTTGCAAATGCAAGATGACTACGTTTAAATAGCGCCAATAAAAAATATAGCTGTGGCTTCAATGCTATTGTAGTAATATGATGATTTGAGAGCTTTGGCATCCAAATTGAAGAAATGAATTCAAGGCGCCTACTCTGCAGTGTTCAATGAGCATTAGTTTTCCTCTCCTCATAAAAAAGGGTCATAATATGCTTATGGCGCTCAACATTTGTTAAAAATTTTGAGTGTTTACAACTTCATGAACAGGCAAACTAGATATACTAGAAACTCAGATATGCTTTGCATTCTTTTTGAAAACCATCTGTCAACAAATTTTCTGCTGCATCTGAGGCAAAGAAACTTTATATAAATCTCGACGCAGGGAGGGGTCACCCTTTTCTTTTTCTGTTGCTTTATATATAATAAATATTTTGTTCTAATACATCATATTGGTTGTACAGCATAAGGGGAAGTAGGGGAGCGTATGTAAGTGTTCAACCTGCCAGTGTGTCTATTTACAGATCACAGATCACAAGTCATCACTGTTTCCATATTGTGTCGATAATTAGTTCATGCAAGGATATGGTAATTGACTGTTGAGATTGGAAAGGCTGGTGAGGCATAGCAATAATCATTCATCTGAAAACACACAACATAACAGCAGAAACAAGTAAACCATACATTTCCTGAGTGCTGGTGGCAGTGGCACTGACCGAAAGTGACGTGCACTGCTGGCAACTTCAGTTGTTTTGCTCTGGATATGATGTGATGGTGAGCTGGCCAGCTTTACTGTCATGAAGACTATTGGAGACTGTTGTGCTAAATAATATTAAAATGTCAATAGCTTCAGCTTTTAATGAATGACTATGACACAACCGCAACAATAACTAACAGCTCTGAGCTTTTATCCTGCTTTTTTTAAATCAATAAGTACATTCAAATATTGAAAACATTGTTCGTCAGAACCGTCTCAACAACTCAACAAACCTGACTGTGTGAGTGTTTTCAGATCCTCCCCTGAAAATTCAGTTAGGTCATTAGTTGTTAACGTTAGGGAAATATCAGCATCATTGTTAAAGGAAACGTGCTGAGAGTTGACAGGAAACAAGACACAGACACGTACTGAAGGAAAATAGTTTGCATGTTAGTATCCTGCTGGTCATGTCATGATGTCATATTGTGTTATGTCATTTTATGAAATCATCATGTCATTCATGTAATGACACCATGCTATGTAATTGTTTTATCCAATTTTATTCCTTTGTTATGTCAGATTATGCACATCATATCATGTCTCTGCTTTTCTTATGTTATGTCACATTAAACATGTACAACTGAAGTTTGCTAACTAGACCTAGAGGAAATGGTTTCAGGTCATTTGGTTGTTTTTTTTTCTGTCCTCACTTTGAACAAAGTTAAAGAAAAACAAATTTGACAATGACCTTTTAAAAGTGCTATACTCACTCTGTTGTTTCATTATGTTTTTTTCAGATGTGGAGGCTTCCAACTGTCCACGCGTCATCCATAAACAAGTTGGAGACACTGTGGAGCTTCCATCATGCTTACCAACTGAAGGGGTCACAACAGCAACTTGGAAATATGGAGATAAAACAGTTGTAGACATGGAACAAAGCTTAAATACTCAGTACACAAACAGAATATATCTAAACAACACAACCTTTAGTTTAACAGTGAGAAAACTGACTGCTCAAGATTCTGGTAATTACAGTTTTCTCTCAGAGGCGAAGGGCGTGCAAAGACACACAGTCATCATCACTCTGCACGTTCATGGTAAGATGCTTTTGTTTTTGTTAACCACACAGCCTAGTAAGCGTTAATTGATTATATTTATCCATTCATTCATGTTTAGTTGCTGGCCTATGGTTTGCAGGTGGTATTTATATGGCACAAGATGTATGACACTCTCATTTTAGAGGCAGAGCTGTGAGGCAGATTTTATCAGGTACTTGCTAACTCTGTCAGTTCTTTGAAATTCTGTTTTGTAATTTCCATAGCTGCTTTGTTTTAAAACTAGAAGCCTGCACATGGTCGCTACATACTTGATATCATGATAAAAGACTGAGGCTAAAGTCAGCATTCTCACAGGCTCATGATAAAGTAAAGGAACAGTATTGTTTGTTGCAGAGAAGAGCTGGTTAAACGTCAGTCCCACTGATCAGCCCTTGCCTTTAGAAATAATGTTAAATTAGGTAGTAAACCAGTTAGTTGCATGTTTGCATTTGAAGATTTGATTTAATTCTTACACTTGTGTTCTAGGTTTTTAAATGGTGATAAAAAAAAAGACACCACCATCCAAACTCCTTATAAACAGAGTATAGCTGTGATTTGATAACCATCATTTTGCCTTGTTTCTCTCTTACTTGCAGTGAGCTTTGCTGTCTTACGGGCTAATGATAAAGAGGAAATACATTTCATACATTTAAATAGTAGCACACACCCAACAGAGCAGGGTGCACCCGACCACAGAAAACATTATTGCAAGGAAAGGACACACTCTCAAACTGCTCCTGTGTTACTCAGTCATTCATTGTAGCGTCACACCATCATTTCAGGACTTTGAACCTTCGTCTCTTTTGACGTGCATCTACATTTGCTAACACAATTATTTCTTAGTGCTTGTCAGAATTAGAGTACACAACAAAAGTGAGTACATTACACCGCTTTGCAGTATTACTAAAATGTTAAATGATTCAAAACTGTACCATCATACAATACTTGTATTTTAAGTTGAAGTCTGGGGTATTTGATCTTATGTATAATCAAAAATGACAGGTTAGAAAGGTTACAACCTCAATGTAACAGTGAGTTTACCTGCGACCACTGCAACAAGAGTGAGCACAACTGCGATTGTCAGTTCGGACTGACCAGCAACAAGGTTATAAAAGAACCTGTGAGCAACACAGCTTCCTGGTCTGGTCTGGCTTGTGTCTAATGCTGCATGGCTCCACATGGTAAGGATCAGCCTGAACAAGTAATGAACCACATTTTGAAACTTCATAAAGATGGGAGAGGGTAGCGTCAGTAGGCCGCTGAACATACGGAAGAGCCAAACTACCAATAACAGAACGCACAGTGGCCATCCTGGAAAAAAAGGGCAGAAACTCAGTGACTAATCAGACAGTGTGAAGGACTTTACATGAAGTCAACCCCGTCGTAAAATTTGTGCAGCTCAGACGGGATGCAGCGGGTTTGGCGTGGATCATGGCCAGGACCACCACAGTGCCGGCCGTGAAACAAGTGGGAGTGTGCTGATATGGGGCTGCACGAGTGCAGAAGTTGTAGGGGAGATGCACAGACATTTACAGATATAACCTGTGAATGCAAGTTTGAGTTCCCAAATACTGGATGAAAATAAGACTTTTTAAAGAAGTAAAAAAAGAGGAAACTATGATTTGGCCAAGCATGTCCCGTGACTTTAGTCTTTGGAGTTTTTTGAAGTGGAAAGTAGAGCATCAAAAACCCTCCAGCAAAGAGCAGCTGAAAAGAATCATCTCTTCACAGATTTGTACAAGACTGGTATCATCCATCCATCATCATCACCAACAAAGGTGTACATATAAAATATTTAAAAAATAAAAGAAAGGAATCTCACTAATGAAAGATTTACTGACTGTTTTTGCAGCTGAGTGATCACCAAGTTTGTTCAGATTCAGGAACTGCCTTTGCTTCTTGGAAAACATGATCAGTGTGATCTCTCTCTTCTGTTCTGCTTCTTAGCTCTTTCCTCTCTCATAAATACCAATGGTGTGAATGTGTAATGAATTTGCAAAGTTGTGCACATGCATATTTAAAGGTACAGTATGAAGCCAAATCACCTGTCACACACTCTCTCTCTCTTCCTATTGCCTCCTTAGAGCCCATAACTACACCTGTCCTGACTGCCAACACCACCTCACATGCCTTCAATGGATCCTGCACAGTTTTCCTGCGGTGCATTTCTGACAGCCAGGTCAACTACAACTGGACCATGAGGGCCCGGACCCACCGTGGCTCCAGTACACAGCATTACACCATCAGGCCGCAGGACGGAGAGACCACATTCACCTGCACGATTTGGAATGTAGTCAGTGAGCGATCTGCTTCCACAACAGTGACGTGTAGCAACGACACGTCCGACCAACAAAAACCAGGTAATGTAGGGAGAAGTGAATGAACTTCATTGATGATGAATTCCTTATTTACAGAGTTTTGGTGAGTCACATTGCAGTTGGAATAGCCAGAGTTATAATTCAAGGTATGCTAGTAGTAGTTTTCCTTGTTTGATGTCAAGATTTTACTTGTGAAAATGACCAGAATCTGCAGAGTTTGCAGAGGATAGTTTACATTAAGAAGTACATATTAAGTTTCTATTGAATTTGGGATATAACCAAGAAAACTGTTCAGATATCTTTAACTGTAAAGTACCAGACAAATAAAAGCTACGGTAAATTGCAGTGATTTGTTTTGGCTCTCATCATTTATTAGTATTCCTGCTTTATTAAGTATACTTGCGTCTTTTATTTAACTCTGTCATAATAATAATAGTGATAATATTCTTATTTGCAGAGCCAGAAAACTTTGTCTTGTTCCTGAGTGTGGCAGCAGGAGCTGGTTTGACGATTATCATTGTAGTCACCATAGTTATTTGGGTTTGTCTCCACACACAAAGACAGTCTGGTAAGAAACTCTTCAGTACGTGCCTCTTTTTTTATGTCATAATATATTATCTGTGAAATGTTACTCATGATATTTTATTGTTTCTTATTTACTCATTAACGTTTAAAGAAGGCAGTGATGCAAATGACCTCACCGTGTACGCCGATATCTCTGATGTGGCAAGTGAAGACGTAAGTATTGTGTATTTGTTGTGTGCACATCGCTGAGCGCAAATTATCCACCTCAGTTTTGATTGTTTTACCCGCTTTTTCATTTTGTCTTTAACCTTTCTCTGTGATGCGTACACATTCAAATTTCCAGAGGACATCACCTAACATGAAGCCATGCTCAGTGTATGAAACCATTGACAACAGAGGCAACGCAGCCACACCAGGGGTAAGAGCAAAACATTTCTTGCAAATGAGACTGAAATAGTCCCTATAATCTGAGTTTATAAAATTCTGCTAATGTAGTTAACATCATAGTTTGATAGCTGATGACTGATGAAATGTTGTTTTAGAAATGTATTTTTTATAAAAAATCATTGTGATACTGATGTTTTTCTCCTCTTTTTGTCACACATCTAGCCCCAGACTGTGTATGACAAGATTCAGTTTAGTCACATGAGGAATGCGTCGGGTTCACCCTAACAATAAATTTCAGGGATAACAAAATGAATCAATAACCAGAAGAAAAAAAAACATTTGGAAAAGGCAAAGCCCAAAAAGAAATGTAATGCTAATATGATAAAGGAAAGGTGCAAAAACAGAGTACAGACTCAAACATCATGCTTTTTCAAATTTAAAATCTTTTGCCTTGAGAGAGTTCGGCACCTTTCGTTTTTCATATTAGAAATGTGATACCATTGACAGTGTTGTAAATTCTGTACATAACAAGATTATATATTTTTTAATGTTTGTGCATTTTGTGCTTTTCATCCTGTACAAAGTTGTGCATATTAAATTACATTTACTTTACTTGTGGTTTGTAATCATATCATAAATCTAATTCACTTGTGATCCATTTATTTCTCTACATTTAAGTTTTACAGAGATTTTTTGCAGCTTTTTCAATGACCATCCATAACACTGGTTTTTGTTGGTGTCCAGGCAGGTGGACAAGCCTAACTGACGCAGCTCAGGCTTGATTTTTTTAAGATGCTCTTTCCTTTGACATAAGTACATTTTTCACACATTTCAATTCCATTTGATTTTTGGTACCCTTTACTCAGACATGCATTTAGTCAAATTACAGTATGATACCACCAACAAGTCCTCCAACCTCTGAAGTCTTTTACATATTGTTTAAGAGGCTAGTGGTGTCAATGAGTCACTCCCTGTCTGTCATCCTCTCATACCAATCACTATTAGGAAGACTACTATTCTCCTTCACATATCCTATCACTCTGTCTTATATTATCCCTTATATGTGATTATTTGCATTCACATATTTATTTGTTTCACATAAAATATTTAAGTTAAATATTTGCAATATAAATATCAAGCTAATGATACTGAGCTAATTTGGTGGGAAAAAAAACACGGTTTTCCATATAAATATTCTCTTAAAAGTGAGCTGGCCAGTATTGATTTGAAACAAGCTTTCAAAAATATTCTTTTAATGTCATGATTAAGAAAATCGACAATTTATTTACAAATATATATCAAATAAAATAAAATAACATTTTTACATGAGAAAGACTCAATATCATGATTACATTACTATAATGTGTATTGTTAATTATTTATGATGCTGCTGCTTTCATAGATAAGTGGTGTTGAGATAAACAGATATCGAGGATAATGATATTTAAAAAAAAATGAAATTTGATATTGTGTTAATAATGACAAATGATAATATCATGATGGCAGATGCTTAGGCCGTGTGGATCTTGTCTTTATCAGTTCATCTGGTTGTCTTGTGTTTCACTGTTCTTTTTGTATGCTTTTGTACGTTTACGGTTGCAGACTCTCTCTCCACCTCCCTACACTCATATGAGTCCAATTCATTTGCCCTCTGGACACAATAAAAGTCAGCTCTGACAACTCCGACAGCTCTGCTTCAGATTATAGCGAAATACATTCTTACATTCTTGTGTTGTGCTAATATATCACAGTTCTCATACGGCACAAGCGCTGTAGTCATCGTCCAGCATGGCTAATGCTTCTGTGGTGTTGTCAATTCAGCTTCTTGAAATTTTTACAGACGTCAAGCTAACTGCAGGGAGGAGGGATAATAGCAGTGTGTTATCACTCATCAATAGCAATCTAGGAAAAACAAACAGGTTGTGTTTATAAAGCATCTTTGAACAGAGACAGACTGCAATTTACCTCTGGATTATACCTCTGATTTAGGCAGGTTGTCTGAAAAACAAAAAATAATACATAAATACAAAAAAGTTTATTTACCAGTGAGCATTTCAGTCTGAAAATGACTATATGAATTATATACCTTTGAGACATTTCCATGCAGATTTGATTTTTTCTGTAATTTAAAAAAAAAAAAAAGGACTTTGTCAACACAGTAATCACTGTTCAAGTACTCGAAGCAGCAGAAGCAGACAGTTTGTTATGGTCATGACCCATTAATGATTCTGTTTGTTGTTTCAGGAAACAGCAAGTGCAGCACAAATGCTGTTTTGCACAAATGTAATCACTGCAAGGGTTTGGGAGTATATGTGTATATATAAAGTATACTATATACACATGAAAATTTGATATACCTTTCTTAATATTTTCTCTATATGATAGCATTTGTGTTTGATCGTGCTCAGATGAAATAAACAGATGAAAGATGAAAGAGGGATAAAAGAATGATATTTTCCTCTCACCTCTGAAACAATACATTCCTGCTGCTATAGCAATTGCTATAAATAATCCTAAAAAAAACATAGGAGCACATCTGGGGCAGGGGTTTTCTGCAAGACAGAGTAACAAAGTTAAGAGGAAAAAATCTGAAGTTAGCTTCTCAGTTCACCTGTTGACTCCTCTAAAAACTGACATGGCAGAGGGGTGTTAGGGAGCAACAAATCCTTATCGAATTATGTTGTGTCCCATCATGTTTCTACTTTATATGGTATGGTATGGCTTGGTATGATTTGTTATTGTCATACCACAGTATATTGTTTTGTATTATATTATTGCATTATGGGGTATCATCATCATCATATTGTATCATCTGATCACAACATAACCCAACTTGATGTGTTTAACCAAAAGGAAAAACATCTTCCATGTTTTATGTTGTCTTATATAGTACTTTGCTGTATTACACTGTGTTTCTCTGTTTGCCCCATTATGTATGTTATTAGTAAAACATTAGCCTTGCTTTTACTCTACATGGTGTTGTGTGTACAGCCGTCAACAGTCCATGCCCTTTTTAGGAGAGTCAAAAAGTTCATGTTCTTTGAACGTCACATGAGCTCCAGCCTATCCTCTGCTTTAAATACAACCAAACGATACACCGCTACCTCTTTGCTACATGCTAACCGAGGTTGCCATGTTTTATGGTTGCATCATTACATCACACTTAAATCTGTTTGACATTTTTAAGCCATAATTTAGTATGACATCTTTGGAAACTTACGGACCCTCCCCACAATACCTCATCATATTGAATCATACATCATGCTATCATGTTTTCCTTCACTTTACCATCACACTCTGCAGTGACAGCATTTGAGGCCCTCTCTGTAGTCCTGCTGGAGGTGCAGGTGAAATGGACAGGCTTCTGTGTGGTGCTGAGGAATGCTAAAAGAACTCCAGGTTTTCCATCAGGATTACTCATGTTGTAGGCAGTCTTGGTGAGAGGTCCAACCTCCCAGGAGAGGTCAACATCTTGATCTTGAGAAGAACAATCAAACACCACAAAACAGCCTCCTTCTACAGATGCAGTGACGAGTTTCTTTACAGACGGTTTCTTAAGGCGTTCTGCACGGGAATAAATTGTGATTATGAATTAGACATATAGATATATTCCTAACCATTCAGAAGCAAAATATTTGAAACATGTTAAACGTATTAAGGAAAGTGAGGACAACACACTAAGGCCTCTACTTTAACAATCTATGTGCAAAGTCTAAAGCGCATGGTGGGCGTGTCCAAATCTACTTTTGCTAGATTACTGGCATAAATAAAGGTTGCAGCACCAGGAGCATGGTTCAAAAGGGTTGTCTCTTATTTAATCATGGTTGTGTATTGGGCATAACATGCAACAAACAAGAGCCATCTCTCGTTCCCTTTATAGGCCAGGTGCACTTGCACCTTTGTGGATTGATATTACAATGGTGGATCTGCAAGGTAGAAAGAAAGATCACTTCTCTGCGGAGCTATGATCTGCTCGTACACAAAGTAGATGCGCGCGAGCTAGCTAACAGCAACAGCCGAATACCACCAAAACTCTTGTGCTGCATCATGATTGTAATTAGTCACAACCTAATTTTAAGACCAAAGTTTAACACCCACAAGTGCTCAGATGGGTGCAAGTGCAAGACACCTTGCACTTGACATCACTTTGTGCAGGGTGTAAGATAAGTCCCTAACAGTCTACAGTCAAGTCAGTCATGTTTGTGAGGCTGTAACTGAAATCCAATGACAATGACAATGCTAGCATGTCGATCCAGGTTTAATGTTTTCTATTTACACATTTTTTTTAAAATTGTTTTAACAATAACCACTTAACACAAAGGTATTAGTGTTCATTGGCAGTAATAGTTTTGCAGGTATTCAGTCCGAAACCAAAGTAGTGAATAAACTGAAATTTTGATCTGATGATGTTGTTGGATAAGAAGACAGAGGATCACCAGAGTTATTACAGTTCATCCTGAGGGAAACATGAACGTGTAACAAAATCCATAGCAAGCCATTCAAGTGTTATTGTGAAATTTTACTCAAAATCACAAATATGGACATCATAATGTCGCTAGAGGAAAATTCAAGGGGTGACCATAGTCAATAGGGTTTAATGCCTGTGCAAAATTTAATTGCAATCAGTGAAATAGTTCCTGAGATGTTTAAGTTTGGACCAAAGTGACAAGCATTGCCGTCTATGGAGCCATGCTGCCAGCATGGCAGAAAATAGCCAGTCCACAGTCTATGAATCAGTCACCTCAATGAGGAACATTATTTTTTTTAAAAAATGACTCATAAACTTTGGTCGCACTTACGCATAACTTTGAGCTTGATCTTGTTCACTGTGCCGTTTTTCATTGTGTTGATGAGGTCCACAGTGTACTCCATGGCATCCTCACGAGTCAGATTATGGATCGTCAAGTCACCTGATGAATAAAGAATGATTGAAAAGACACTGTCAAGAAAGAAATAAGATAAAGACTCCTTTACACCGACGGTCAGATGATAGATTTTTCTGTCACCTGAAGAGATGTTGAGACTGAGTCTCCCTTTGTACCGACTGATGCGTTCGATGTTTGTTCTCCCCTTGCGATAGGTGGCAATCCATGTGTTGTTGGAGAACACTGACCACTCAATTTTGGAGAGCTTCCATGATGGGTCTGCTCCTGACCATAAGGTAACGTTAGCCCCAAGGTAACCAGGGACTTCCTTAAGGGATTCAACTAGTGCCCCTGTGAAAACAAGTTGAAAATGATTCAGCATCACCACACTCAGTCTATCTGGGTTCACACAATAAAAAGAAGATAGGCAACACTTCCCTAAAGAAAGACAATAAAGGATTAACTTCAGTTCCAGCAGCATTTAGTGGATATCATTACATATTAATATGGCCAATATTGAACTTGTATTTGTGTTGTGTCATCATTTAGCTTTCCGAAGACTTTGACTCTAGTTAGTTCACATCAGTGCTTTAAACTAATGTAAACATTAGCATGATCATAATGACAATGCTAGTTTTCACCTGTGTGTTCACCTTCTGAGTTTAGCGTGTTAGCATGCTAATATTTGTTACTAAGCAATAAACGGGATAAACAGTATTGGAAAAACAGAGATTATGATCTGATGATGGCGCTAGACGAAAGATCAGGGGATCAAACTTTTTACAAATCATAATCTGGGGACCATCAATGTTGAACCCAAATTTCATGGCACACTATAGAGCTGTTTTTGAGATAATTCAGAAATGTTCTCTTGGTGTAAAAGGTCAGAGGATCACAAAAGTCAGTAGCAGTCATCCTTTGGCTGTAAAAAATTTGCTACCAATACGTCAAGTAGATGTTGAGATATTGCAAAAAACAGATGACCACCAAAGTCATTAGAATTGATCCTCAGGGGAGCTTGAATCTAAATTCTGTAGCAAGCCATTCAAGAGTTGTTGATATTTAGCTGAACCACAATTCTCCGCCTCATGGTGGCTCATGAGGAGAGGTCGGGGGATAAACAAATTCAGGAGGATTCATCTTCTAGGGACCATGAACGTCTTTAAAATTTCATGGCATCCATGTTGTAGCTGTCGAGGTATTACAGTCGAAACCAACGTGGTGTAAGAACCAGCTATGCTTAACACGCATGGGTAACACTCAAACCGTCAAGGGTGCAGGTTCATTTTCAAATTTTCAAGAAGACGGTCGTACTTGGTGTGAACTGCATCAAGCGTGAAAGGGACGAGTTTAATTAATTTTTCTACTTCCTGCTTTTGTTTTGTTGTAACTGTAACATAGTTCCCTTCCTTCTGACGTTAAATATTTAAGTAAACATCAGAAAGATAGAATGAGAGATAAAAACATAAAAAATTAAAATTATATAAATAAATATAAAATATATTTGTAAGTTTATTTTGCTTTTTGTTAAGCCACCAGAGTTCTGTGTTCCCGGTATTTCTGTCTCAGGAAGTCATCTATTCTGTTCTGAATTGTACTTTTAAATATCTAAAAGTTTTTGGAAATCTGGCACTACAGCTTTTAATGATATTTTCAGAAATTAAAAAAAAAGGACCCACCTTGGAGGAACGCAATGATGAAGATTTGGTGTCTCATCGTAAATGAGGCACAAGGCACAAGGCACAGGAGGAACGCAACCACTGACAGACTTCCTTTTTTAGTCATACCAACCACGTGGTTTATGAACTGCATCTGTTCCTATAACGTTACTGCAATACTGGATTCTTTCTTTCTTTGAATTACTTAATATGACTTAATATGTTGTGTGATAAAAAACTTCCTTCACTTCCCTTTTTAATTTTTTTGGGGGGCTTTTTATGCCTTTATTGACAGTGCAGTAGAGAGAGACAGGAAATGGGGAGGCAGAGAGAGGGGGAATCACATGCAGCAAAGGGCCGTCCGATGCGAGACTCAAACCGGGGCCAACTGCAGCAAGGATCTTAGCCTCTGCACATGGGGCAGATGCTCAACCAACTCGATGCCCCACTTCCCTCATGTTTATGATAAATGAAGTTGCTTTCACATTTATTGGCCCTTACAAAGAAAAGTACTGCATGGTACTTTTTGCATGAATTCCCTGTGGATCAATGTGACAAGCTTCACTGAACAGACTAAATAGTTTCTTTTCTATTCTATAATATCCATACTCTGTTAAGGTTTTTTTCTTTTATTTGGTGAATTCCACTTGCTGTTGTAGGTATTGTAGGGTATCGCATACATATCTCTTATACAATGGAAGTTTTTACACGTCATCCTGACAACCCTCACATACTCCCACACTTCTTGTCTCACTTCCTGTCTTTGCTCCAAAAACAAAAATAAAAGAATTACACAAGACAACTTGTGACTCGCACAAAGCTTTCGATGCCATCATTTATCAAAAACCTTTTACAGAGCCCTAAGTGGCAGATAACAGATACATGTTAGGAGCTTAGTTTCAGTACAATAAAGTGACAGCAAATGAATCGATTAAAAAAAACAGGAAAAATACAAGCTTAGAAAATTGTATCAAAATGTACATGTAAACGGCTTGTGATTGGCACGGCAATCTCTATTTTTAGTGTAAAAAGAACATGTTTGAGTGACAGAAGATGCACAAATGCGAGCAGCTCAAGTCCAGATACAGTAGGGGCCCCTGTTGACCCCCCCAAAATTCATACAGCAGCTTTTCATTAGTTCTTCAGACTCCCAGAGACGGACCAGAACTGTAGAGGTGGATGATCAGTCGATTAATCAGTTAGTTTATCAACAGAAAATCAATCTGTAACTATTTTGATAACTGATGGATTGTTAAGTATTTCTGAAGCAAAAACAGTAACAAAAGATATCATTGGTTCTGGCTTCATAAATGTGAATTTTCTATACTGGATAACAAAGTGAACATCTCATATTCATACATTCATGGGGACCCGTCAGTGACATAATGCATTCCCCAACCCCTTACTGTAACCTTAACCATCACAACCCAAACCCTCGGACCGAGTCTTAACCCTCAAACAGCCATTTAATCTTGTCCAGCATTTTAGTCCCCACAAAGCTGACGGACCTCTGTTTTCAGACCGACAGATATAGTCAAACAAAGTCTGCACGCATTCCCACGCTGATTTTGCAAAATATCAGACAGTAATTAAAATGAAGCTGCCAAAAAGAAGCACAACGGCAGTACTTTGCTGTGTTGTGCCTGAGCTTATTAAGATTAAATATGCAGAGGTGAAAACATCCACTACCAGGGTTACCAGTGTTACTGAACACAAACTGGTTCTTCATTGTACACACACTTGTGCTTACATTTGTTGCCAGTGCAACAAAACACATTCATGTAGGTAGAACTTTTCATTCACCTACATAAATGAAAAGTGATTCAATCAAAACTAAACAGGAAATAACACAAAGAAATGCGCAGTGCATCGAGTCCATCCAGTGTTTTACTTCATAGTTTCACTGGAAAGTATGTATATCCACTTTCCAGTAAGCAGTTGAGTGGAATCAACAAAAATGAGGAAGGAATTCAGAGGTGGTTTCATCTCTCTTTGATTCGGTAGGTCAATCCTGCCGGTGAGAAAAGGCCAGGGAAGCTTTCAGTTGAGTTTTTTGCCGTGCGTTTAAAGCCTGTCAAGGCAGTGAACGAGAAGTTCAAGTAAGAGGGGAAATAAGAAGTAAGATCAGCTTTGACACAGTGTGAGCTAAAAATAAGCCTGAGCATGAAAAAGGTCAGCTGTGCAGCACTGTATTTATGAAGACAAGAGGTCATTCCTTCTCCAGCCATGGGATTTTATCAAAAGAATATACACATTTATTAAATTTGTAATGAAATACTACCGAAGAACAGCCTTCCTTAATATAATGGGAAGTGAAAGCAGTCTGTAGTGCATTCTCACAAGTTAACAGTCAGCAGTTTGAGGGATGGGTGCAGATTTAGCTTTGTTCTGACGAAACAAAAGAGGAACAAGGTCAGAGATGGGGTATTTTCTTTAAGTCTATGATACTTTATCCATGTCCACTTTGCACATTTGGGTGTCACAGTAATCAACAAATAAAAACCATAAAAAATGTAATACAAAAAGGTATAAAAAGATACCCTGTAGGCAGTGAGATTAGTATCTTTGATTCACCATCTTCCTTTGCTCCGTCCACTTCTCATCTCCCTCCTCCTACACAGACGTCTCTGACTGAAGCTTCATGACAAACTTGTGGCTTTTGGGGTCAATGAACTCCTCGCCGAGGCGCAGGAAGGGAAGCGGCGTCACCGTGACAACCAGGGAGAAGTCCAGGCGTTTCAGGGTGAAGACCTGGCCTTGACGCAGGGAGGCCGTCACCGGCTCCTCGCTCACAAGTGTCCACTGGCGCCCCCTACCGTTGTCCAGGTACTGGAGGGTGGGACCTGGGCTGAGGTAACGCTCGAGGAAAGCCTTTAAACCACAGAAACACAAAGGATATGTGCAGTTCATGAGTTTATAGTGCAGTTTATAATGACACTAAAACACAGTCTGGAATTAAAGGGTTAATGTGTTACTTAATATCTGTTTTTTTCTAAAAATGAATTAATGAAAATTTCAAAAATAAAATATGTATTAATAAAATACATACCATTAAACTATCAACCATCGTCCTTACCTTGGGGGTCATGTTGTGCGTGATGCAGAACTGCAGGTGGTTGATGATGCTCTCCATGCTGTGGTAGGACTGCTGCCTGGTGGCGCGGAGGTACTTCTGCATGGCCCGCGCCATGGGGGCGAAGATGGCCTGAGCTGCCTCCCTGGGGTCCATCACCTCCCGCGGGTGTTTGGGTGAGGATGCCATCGCCTCCTCTTCCTGGTAACGCTTGATATGGGTGAAGGCTTCTTCTACTGCCACCACCAGTCTGGGAGGAGACATTACAGTGTGAGTGAGACACCAGCTTGGATTTAAAGCTGCTCTAATCAATAATTTAAAGCACCTCAATGGAGGTTTTTTTTTTTTGGTGCTTCTTTAACCTCGTTGTGTTTGGTTTTACAATCTGCAGCTTCACTGTTCTGGTCCACACTCTGTATCGTCAACAACAGCAGCAAGCACCTGGTGTCCGTGAACTAGCTCTGATAAACCCACTGTACACTTCCCGCCCAGCTCCAAACGGCAGACGGTTGCTAGAGACTAAATCAGAGCTAAAAGAGGAGTGAATACTGGACCAGAAACAACACTGCAAATGGATGCTAATGTTGCTACGTGCCTGCTGGATGTGTAAATAGGAAAACCTTTGTTAACAACTAGTTTGATTCATACCGGGTCAGCAATCCTACGTACTGCCTCCAGGAAATAGCCATATGTGCACACTCTGTAGTCCAGTGTGATATGATAATGCACTTCTTGAATATCAGTTTTATGTAGCCTACAGCTAAATATTTGTGAGGATAATCCAACATATTGCTTTACTTCCACTCCACATCCTGCAACAACAAATACTTGAAAACTGGAGTATCATATTACTCAACATATTAATAATTTTATATATTTACAGGTACAGATCCTTGTAATAAGGCAACATAAAACTTGAACTTTTAATAATTCTTTTATTTAAAATGACTTTGACTTACTGGAAACATTAAAACTATATTATTGTGGTTTAATAATGAGTTGTCATTTCATTACCTCTCTCCCTTTGGCAGATGAGTTGTGAGGATGACAAGATAACCCTCCACCACATCCTTCAACTTCAGTGTGTATCTTTATATGTGCAAGTATGTATGTGCGTGGGTATGTCTCCACCTGGCCTTGCGTTTGCGGACCCTCCGCTCCACCTCCGCCTCCTCGTAGTAGTACTCGTTGTGGGAGTTGTCTCTTCTCCGAGCGTTGGCTGCGATCATGGCTCTGGACTGCCCCGTGGAGTTATTGGTGTTGTTCTCTGTAGACAGAAACACTGAAGTTAAAGACGACCACTCCGTCTGATGAACAGGCATTTCCACATTCATATCCAATACCAATCTGCTAATCTCTAGGCAGCACATTTGCTATTTTACATCTAAATTTCTAAATTAATATGGTGAATACCTGTATTTCTGCTTTTTATTTAGCCAATTTATTTGTTTTCTATTAGTTACATTGAGTAATGTATTCAAGATGGCCGTCTTGCAATGTATAGCATATCACTGACTCACCCGTATCATTATATCATTGTTACTGTAGGCAATTGTGCTACATTTGTGTCATTTGCGAGTGAACCCACTCATATTTGGTGTATTTCAAATATATATACAAGGTAAGATTTGTTCTGATGCAGATGGGACCAAAACTAAACACGACATCGTTTTACCTTCTCCTAGATTGTAGACCTTGAAGGCAGACATCTTCTTAGTAAGGATGGACTTCGGCAGGTTAAGCAGGGCGGGGTTATAGACCGGGAAGTCACTGTAGTACTGGTCCAGAACCCACACTGCCGCCCGCTGAATACTGTGTTGCACAAGAAAGAGAAAGAAAAAGTAAACTTAAACAGAGAGGGGTTCATATCCCCCTTGACAATTGCACAGCTTCACGGCCAATCTAACATGTACATTAGGGAAGTGGTAAACCATCAGAAGCCGAAAATGACACTGTGTGTGGGCTGCACGCATGAGAGGAAATATCTGCAGCACTATAGGAATGTATGGCTCAACCTGAATGCACATGAGACACAGATGATGTAGGTCAAGCCTGTTATTATAAAAGGCACAAACAACCATCTCCAGTTCTGCGAAAAAAACCTGTTTGTGCGTCACCTGAATATGTTCGCAGCTGCACAGTGTAGGCGAGAGTTGTGGTTTGCTCTGCATCTACACTTTCTAGCCGCCAACTGATAGTTTGCTTTAGCTTTGGGAGGTGACACTTTCTCTTGGCACGTCTTTCAACCACCTTGAAAGTCTTTTTGTAGTTGGTAGCGGGTGTGTAAATGTGGATGCTTGGTGGCTTAGACAATAAGCAGGAAAGATGAATGAGTTTGCACTTGAATGAGTCTCTGTTTTCCACACACACTAACCTGAGATGTCCCACGCTGTAGAAGCGACTGGCTCCATCTGTGGTCCGCACGACCTTCAGACAGAAAGCAGGCTGCAGGTGTCTGACTTCCAGCAGCACCAGGGCCAGGTACTGAATGAACAGCAGCGCATCCACCAGAGACGCTGCATATCCCACAATTCCCCTGTAGTCCGTCTCTCTGGGTTCCAGCACCCGCACCCCGTAGAAGAGCCAATAGGACGCCACGAAGAGGAAGACCAGCGCCAGCAGCAGACAGCGGAAGATGAAGAAGCGCGGCAGAGCGGCTCTGGGCGGGCGGAGGAACAGCGCCCAGGTGGAGATGAAGAGGATCAGGAGCTTAAAGGCCAGAGAAATGTAAAGGCCCTCACATGGAGTGCCGCAAGGGTCAAGTGAGTCCCGCCACAGTAGCTGTGGAAGGGCCAAGAAGGCCAGAGGAGTGACCAGAGCAAAGAGCCCCAAAATGGCGCCCAGTGCAAGGCCTAAGTAACGGCGACACTCCAGCGGCGAGGACTCCTCTAGATCCTTAGAGATCCGTGTCAGGTCCTCGTTGGAGATACTGTCCACGGAGGTGCCGGTGACCACCGTGGTGGTCTCGCCCCAGTTGTCATCCTGAGGAGAGAGGAAGGCAGAGAGGGTGAGTGTCGGTGACAGCAGCTCCACACTGAACACATCTGAAGAGGAAGGATTGACGTTAGACTCTGACCCTGTCGTCTCCTCTGGTGGACTCAGCATCCAGCAGCTGCTCTCCAGGAGCCTGGATGGTCACTGATTTGTCTCCACGGACGCTGCTGTCGCGACTCTTTGATCGATGCCTGTCTCTCCTCTCTCTGGAGACAAGACGACAAGTCAAGGATTTATTATCTATGGATTGACAATAATTATTTCATGCTTCCTGTCCTGGCGCAAATGATTTGTCGGCCCATTTGGAATACCTTTGCAGCCCACCAGTGGGCACCTGGCCCATAGGCTGCAAACCACTGCTCTGTTCAGTGATATAATTATTTGATAGCTATTGTGATTGAACTTTAATCTGGCAAGCCAAAACAAATCACGACAAAAAGGATCTAATTTAATGGCATTGTTTTTTTTGTATCATTTCATCAACGTGGGCTCTGCAAAACTAAAATTTATTTAATTTTTTATTCATATTTTCTGACATTCTAAAGACCAAATAATAATTGACAGTTGATAAAAAGCTGCAGTGCAGTGGACTCTGTGGTCCTCTACCTGTGTTTGCGGGAGCTTCGTGAGTGGGACGACTTGAAGGAGTAGCCCGAGTAAATCGACTCGTTGTCCATGTCGCAGGCTGGCGGCGGGCGGGGTTTCTGAGCCCGTCCTGCCCCCGAGCCGCCGCCTTTCTCCCACACCACGCCCAGCTGGCTCTTGCGGTCGCTGATGGACTTGGAGGAGAGGGCCAGAGGGAGGCGCAGCAAGTCCACCTTACTCCTGAGGGAATCTATCTTGGAGGCCTGGGAAATGAAGGGAGGATCGGGGAGGAAGACAGTGAACAGAAGGGAGGGAGAAGAGACAGAGAGAAAGGCAAAAGATAATTTGTCATATCATCCAGGAGTAAAAACGTCCTAGAGGGAAACGTACCAAGTAACAGCAACAAGAAGAGAGACGGCATTGTTAAAATGTTGGCACAGTGAGGTGTGTGAAAGTGTCTGTGTGCGCGCTTCCAAACGCTCAGGACATAGCTGGGTCCATTCTTCCGCTTTGAGGGAGTTTTTATGAGCAAACTCGAGTGATTTGGCCCTGAGTTTGTTCTCAGCCAATAAAGGGCAATTACGCCACCTTCTATTCTGGGCTTACAATCCTCCAGTGTGGAGGACACGCAGGAGTGGAGGCAGAACATCAGAGCAGCTCTCAAAAATGTTCCAGTTTTACACGAGAGTGACTCAAGCGAAGCTGAAATTGTGCCGTTTTCTACAACACAGTGCCAAATAAAGAAAATACATTTTGTTTTGTTCATGTGAGCCTGATTTGTGTGCTGTCTGTGTTTTTTTGGTTTTTTTGTTGCTTCATGTGTGATACATACTCGTCGAGACGCCGCATTCCCCAACTGTCCCCTGTGGTCTCCAAGGGCAACAGAGCTTAGCTACTACAATGGGGATGAATAGGAGGCTATGGGTGAGAAAAGACAGGAGGGAGGGGGGTCGTTTCCGTGGCAACCAGAACATCAACTCAGCACCCCCCTCTCTCTTCCCCTTATCCCTCAACTAAACACCTCAGAGGACAGAGAGAAGCACAAATCGTTTACCAGGCTCCGAGTCTGATTTAATTTTGAGGATATTTTCTCTTTCCCTTTCTGCACAGGCTTATCATCTGTTTGTGTTCTACATTTTAACTTTGACTTGTCATCTGGACAGAGCACAGTGTTTTTATTTTCCCCAAGTAGGGTACTTTCCCAATTGGCAGCAGAACAAGCAGACTCCTAATCTAATAACAACTCTCCTCGCGCTCTCTATTTGTACCATGACCTCCTGCGTCCATCTTCTGTATTAGACACTTCAGATTTCAGTAACGGCTTTCATGTGATTCACATGCGGACTCTTCCTCTTCACCTGGGGACATTTTCCATCGGATACATTAGTGGGCATACAAAGCTGTACTCACGAGGCCCTGAGAGATTTTAAGCCTGATGTACTGATATTTGTTCGACATAAACAGTGAAAGACAGAAAGACAATCATCATCATGGCTACAGTTTGCCAGAAGAAACATGGGGGGGGGGACTGAAGTCAGCCGAACGAAAACTCTGTGGTCTAATGAAACCAAAAACACTACATTTGTGAGAGAGTACAGGAGAAAACGAATGCGGCTAAATACTGGAGAGGAAAACCTGATGCAGTCTGCAAGAAACCTGCCACTTGGGAGAGGATTTGTTTTCCAGCAAGACACTGAACCCGAGCATAAAAGCAAAGCTACACAAGAATGGCTTAAAATCCCCATAAATACATCCCTCTGATTGAGAACGAGTGGATGGACTTGAAAAAAATAACAACAACACATTCATTCTTAAAAGAGTCAAATATACTGGGCCATTGTCACAGCTTCATGTCAGGCCAAGTACTCTCCCTCTCTTTCTCTGTCTCTCTAAAAATGAGAATCACATGGCGTAAGACCTCATATTCTCTAACGCCATGAGAATTTATCTTTAGGTCTCTGCTGCCAGCTTGAGAACAGAATCAGTCAAATCCTGGTCCAGATCCCATAACACAGAGCGTGACAGAGGGGGTGGAGCTTTATCCTCAAGTGCTGACCATATATATAATTTACATGACCCCTAACTAAGTCTTTTGGGGTAGATTTTGAAAAAATTCTTATAGAGACAGCTGGTTTATTTCTCTTAACATAAGAATAAGACCATACATTATATGTTCATGATGTAAAAATGTGTTTACAGTGCAGGCATCTTTGGACCCTGTGATCATTAGCATGTGAATCCCATAATCGTATATACAGTATCAAATCAGCCAAACCTCAGTATGGACTGCTGCTCCCAGTGAGAAACCACTGACTCATGCTGACTTGGGAAAGTAATACAAGCACACAGAATATGAGTGATGTGATTTGTTTGCGCACTATAATTCAGAGGAGATGGTTACGGCTGTGGATGGATGTTAAGTTGTAAATGCCCCAGTCTCTCTAAAAAAGAAAAACATTTCAGAAGGCACAATACCAGAACTTTCAGCGGTTGTATTATAGTGCCATTAACATAAGCACGACCAGCTCTGTCTCTCTCCAGACTGAGATAGTCGATGCCATCGATCACACTGATGAGCCTCTCCCACTGTAATCAATCCACAGCTGATTGATTTACACTGGAGTTCATGTTCAGCATCATCTGGGCTGTGGGACTTCTGTGTGCAGTGTGGAAACAGGATGGCCAGTTTTTTACTAATAAGTTTGCCTTAGGAAGCAGGACTTAAAAAGTTTTCTTCTTAGCACTAGTGTGAATCTTTGATCTCTGCTGAGGCTGTGAGATAATAATTTAAGAATACAGTTGCACTTGTTTCACAACATTATAATGCTTAAAGAAAACTGTGTCAATTAGAGAAATGTTGTCTTTTCACTTATCAGTTTATCATATGGGTGTTTCTCGCCGTGCGTGCAGCAGACTAATCAGCCTGCCTATGTGGCTCCCGGGGGCCTCCAGGCCTCAGGGTGGCGGTGGGCCAGCGAGGCGTGGCTGTTGTCTCTATACTGAGGCGACCCATGCAAGACCAGGCTTCTAGGCTTTTACACTATAAACACACAGTCGGTATGAGTTAATAAAAGGTCACAGCAAACCAGTGACCAAAGTGATGCAGGCTGCACACACTTTGATTTTACACTGTGGAAGCAACAGCGACAAAGCAGAACACACCCAGGGTGAGTACAAGTGCTGCCGCTGTGAGCAACAGACTGGTGACTACACAGCAAACTCACGCGCATGTGACCACAGTCCAAAAGAATCATCTCCCAAACGCTCTGTCTGTAAACTGTTCCATTTGACAAACCGTGCGTAAAAGCGCAACATGGATAAAGTGCATGGAGAAAAACATGAATAGGCGAACGAGCTCCATAACGGCGTACGTGTTCACATTGGTGGTGAAATTCGGCTTTAGTGACTGTGAGATCAGTAGTTATCTGCCAGCTCATCAGTCCTGACACACGAGTGGAAATAGACAAATGGAAAAATAAAAATGTGTTTGGAAAGAAAGTGGAAGAAAATGTTTTCCATGAAAATTTTTTTCATTAAAGTCGTGGTCAGCCGGTTTTACAATATACATGCTCACAGACGCATTTTACCCATCATGCCTGCAGGGATGTCTTACCTTTATACCCACAGGGAGAAAGCTGCAGCCGGCAGCACAAAGAGCAGCAGCAGCAGCAATTCAAAGAACAAAAGTGCCTCCAAATGCCTGAAATTCACTTTCTCCCGGTTTTCATCTGTCTGCAGTTTTCGACGCTCATCTACAACCTAAGTGTAACTCGAATGTTCTTCGCGAACGCAGTTTGTTCTGTTTGCTTGTTTGTTTGTTTTTCGCCTGGAAATCGCAGCTCAAGTCGAAGCATCGAGCCGCACAAAAGGGAGCGACACACACCTCATCCCGTCTCCCGCATCTGCTATGAGGCAGCGAAACCCCGCTGAGCGCGAAGGGAGGGAGGGTGGTGGTGGGGGGTTGGCTGTGCGGACATCCAGCACCGGCTGAGGTGGTCAAGTTAGATGCAGAACATTCAGTGCTTCTGGTAATGATTTTCAAAATAAAACCAGTATTTTACACCAAGGGGCTAGGTTTGGTCTCAACAGATAGGTAGGGACACAACCCCGCCACCCTTCCAAAACAAATTGATTGGCTTTTTAATGCCATCAACTAAACTGTTTATTAACACACTAGATCTGAATTTACATCAAAGAATGCCATGTACATATGAATTAAAATCATAAAATATAGTATATATATGAAAAAAATACACATGTAACCTGTCAGAAATTTTAACAGTGTCATATATTGACATATATGTTTAGCTAATAGAAACAAGTATTGTAGTAAGTCTGTTTATATTACAGACTGCACATTACATAAATATATATCCATCCCAAAGCATATCAGTATATGTTCATATCATATGTAAATGAAAAAGATAGACCTGTATGTTTAGATTTATCAAGATTATTAAGAAAATCATACAAACAAAAAACTTTAATAAGCATGTTGTTTAAATAAAGTTGCATTTTACTATAAGTATTTAACATGTTATGAACGTAAATCTTCATATATCAAGAAGATGTATACATGTGATAATATGTCGTATTTACATCAGCTCTTGATTAGGGACATATATGTCATATATAAAGTATAATAAGGCAAAAACATCATAGTATAGTACGGCAAAAATGTAATAAAATGTCATAGTATAAAACATCATAGTATAATAAGGCAAAAAATTGTTTGGCATGAAACGTCATAAAAACGTCATAGAATGATAAAGAAAAAAAATCACAGCAACGGAAAAAACATTTAAAAAACATTGTAGTATATTAAGTAACAAAAGGTCATAAAAACGTCATAGTGTGGTAAGGCATAAAACCACAAAGTGCAGTGTGGCATAAAAATGTCAAAAAACATCATAGTATGGTAAGGCATAAAAATGGCAAAGTGTAGTGTGGCATAAAAATGTCAAAAAACATGATAGTATGGTAAAGCATAAAAATGCCAAAAAACGTCATAGTATAGTATGGCATAAAACGTCAAAATAACATTATAGTATATTAAGGCATAAAAGGTCAAAATAACATCATAGTATGGTAAGGCATAAAAGGTCAAAAAAACGTCATAGTATGGTAAAGCATGACATGACATAGTGTAGTAAGGCATAAAAATGACAAACGTCATAGTATAGTATGGCATAAAACGTCAAAATAACATTATAGTATATTAAGGCATAAAAGGTCAAAATAACATCATAGTATGGTAAGGCATAAAAGGTCAAAAAAACGTCATAGTATGGTAAAGCATGACATGACATAGTGTAGTAAGGCATAAAAATGACAAACGTCATAGTATAGTATGGCATAAAACGTCAAAATAACATTATAGTATATTAAGGCATAAAAGGTCAAAATAACATCATAGTATGGTAAGGCATAAAAGGTCAAAAAAACGTCATAGTATGGTAAAGCATGACATGACATAGTGTAGTAAGGCATAAAAATGACAAACGTCATAGTATAGTATGGCATAAAACGTCAAAATAACATTATAGTATATTAAGGCATAAAAGGTCAAAATAACATCATAGTATGGTAAGGCATAAAAGGTCAAAAAAACGTCATAGTATGGTAAAGCATGACATGACATAGTGTAGTAAGGCATAAAAATGACAAACGTCATAGTATAGTATGGCATAAAACGTCAAAATAACATTATAGTATATTAAGGCATAAAAGGTCAAAATAACATCATAGTATGGTAAGGCATAAAAGGTCAAAAAAACGTCATAGTATGGTAAAGCATGACATGACATAGTGTAGTAAGGCATAAAAATGACAAACGTCATAGTATAGTATGGCATAAAACGTCAAAATAACATTATAGTATATTAAGGCATAAAAGGTCAAAATAACATCATAGTATGGTAAGGCATAAAAGGTCAAAAAAACGTCATAGTATGGTAAAGCATGACATGACATAGTGTAGTAAGGCATAAAAATGACAAACGTCATAGTATAGTATGGCATAAAACGTCAAAATAACATTATAGTATATTAAGGCATAAAAGGTCAAAATAACATCATAGTATGGTAAGGCATAAAAGGTCAAAAAAACGTCATAGTATGGTAAAGCATGACATGACATAGTGTAGTAAGGCATAAAAATGACAAACGTCATAGTATAGTATGGCATAAAACGTCAAAATAACATTATAGTATATTAAGGCATAAAAGGTCAAAATAACATCATAGTATGGTAAGGCATAAAAGGTCAAAAAAACGTCATAGTATGGTAAAGCATGACATGACATAGTGTAGTAAGGCATAAAAATGACAAACGTCATAGTATAGTATGGCATAAAACGTCAAAATAACATTATAGTATATTAAGGCATAAAAGGTCAAAATAACATCATAGTATGGTAAGGCATAAAAGGTCAAAAAAACGTCATAGTATGGTAAAGCATGACATGACATAGTGTAGTAAGGCATAAAAATGACAAACGTCATAGTATAGTATGGCATAAAACGTCAAAATAACATTATAGTATATTAAGGCATAAAAGGTCAAAATAACATCATAGTATGGTAAGGCATAAAAGGTCAAAAAAACGTCATAGTATGGTAAAGCATGACATGACATAGTGTAGTAAGGCATAAAAATGACAAACGTCATAGTATAGTATGGCATAAAACGTCAAAATAACATTATAGTATATTAAGGCATAAAAGGTCAAAATAACATCATAGTATGGTAAGGCATAAAAGGTCAAAAAAACGTCATAGTATGGTAAAGCATGACATGACATAGTGTAGTAAGGCATAAAAATGACAAACGTCATAGTATAGTATGGCATAAAACGTCAAAATAACATTATAGTATATTAAGGCATAAAAGGTCAAAATAACATCATAGTATGGTAAGGCATAAAAGGTCAAAAAAACGTCATAGTATGGTAAAGCATGACATGACATAGTGTAGTAAGGCATAAAAATGACAAACGTCATAGTATAGTATGGCATAAAACGTCAAAATAACATTATAGTATATTAAGGCATAAAAGGTCAAAATAACATCATAGTATGGTAAGGCATAAAAGGTCAAAAAAACGTCATAGTATGGTAAAGCATGACATGACATAGTGTAGTAAGGCATAAAAATGACAAACGTCATAGTATAGTATGGCATAAAACGTCAAAATAACATTATAGTATATTAAGGCATAAAAGGTCAAAATAACATCATAGTATGGTAAGGCATAAAAGGTCAAAAAAACGTCATAGTATGGTAAAGCATGACATGACATAGTGTAGTAAGGCATAAAAATGACAAACGTCATAGTATAGTATGGCATAAAACGTCAAAATAACATTATAGTATATTAAGGCATAAAAGGTCAAAATAACATCATAGTATGGTAAGGCATAAAAGGTCAAAAAAACGTCATAGTATGGTAAAGCATGACATGACATAGTGTAGTAAGGCATAAAAATGACAAACGTCATAGTATAGTATGGCATAAAACGTCAAAATAACATTATAGTATATTAAGGCATAAAAGGTCAAAATAACATCATAGTATGGTAAGGCATAAAAGGTCAAAAAAACGTCATAGTATGGTAAAGCATGACATGACATAGTGTAGTAAGGCATAAAAATGACAAACGTCATAGTATAGTATGGCATAAAACGTCAAAATAACATTATAGTATATTAAGGCATAAAAGGTCAAAATAACATCATAGTATGGTAAGGCATAAAAGGTCAAAAAAACGTCATAGTATGGTAAAGCATGACATGACATAGTGTAGTAAGGCATAAAAATGACAAACGTCATAGTATAGTATGGCATAAAACGTCAAAATAACATTATAGTATATTAAGGCATAAAAGGTCAAAATAACATCATAGTATGGTAAGGCATAAAAGGTCAAAAAAACGTCATAGTATGGTAAAGCATGACATGACATAGTATAGTAAGGCATAAAAATGACAAACGTCATAGTATAGTATGGCATAAAACGTCAAAATAACATCATAGTATATTAAGGCATAAAAGGTCAAAAAAACGTCATAGTATGGTAAGGCATGACATGTCAAAAAAACGTCATAGTATGGTAAGGCATGACATGACATAGTATAGTAAGGCATAAAAATGCCAAAAAACGGCATAGTGTAGTATGGCATAAAAATGTCAAAAAACGTCATAGTATAGTATGGCATAAAATGTCAAAATAACATCAAAGTATATTAAGGCATAAAATGTCATAAAAACGTTATAGTATGGTAAGGCATAAAAAAACATAGTATAGTAAGGCATAAAAATAACAAAAAACGTCATAGTAGAGTATGGCATAAAAATGCCATAAAACGTTATAGTATAGTATTGCATAAATTGTCAAAATAACATCATAGTATGGTAAGGCATATAAGGTCCAAAAAACATCACAGTATGGTAAGGCATATAAGGTCCAAAAAACATCACAGTATGGTAAGGCATATAAGGTCCAAAAAACATCACAGTATGGTAAGGCATATAAGGTCCAAAAAACATCACAGTATGGTAAGGCATATAAGGTCCAAAAAACATCACAGTATGGTAAGGCATATAAGGTCCAAAAAACATCACAGTATGGTAAGGCATATAAGGTCCAAAAAACATCACAGTATGGTAAGGCATATAAGGTCCAAAAAACATCACAGTATGGTAAGGCATATAAGGTCCAAAAAACATCACAGTATGGTAAGGCATATAAGGTCCAAAAAACATCACAGTATGGTAAGGCATATAAGGTCCAAAAAACATCACAGTATGGTAAGGCATATAAGGTCCAAAAAACATCACAGTATGGTAAGGCATATAAGGTCCAAAAAACATCACAGTATG